ACCGAAGTCCAACCCTGATCTCTGTCCAACTGGATAGTCTCCAATCTGAAGAAGAAGAAGAAGAAGAAGAAGAAGAAGAAGAAGGAGGAGAAGAGGAGAGAGAGAGAGAGGGGACTGGCGAGGGAGAGGAGGAGAGATCCTCCAAGCTCCCAGTACCTCAGGCGGCAATGGCCGCCGTGCTGGCTCAGTCGCCCTGCCGCTGCTCCGCTCGCTGCTGCGCTAATCTGCGCTATCCTGCGCTCCTGCTTCAGCCCCTGCGCTAAGTTTAGCGCATCAAAACAGCGCTCTGGCGCTGACCATACCGTACCGGTATAGTGCCGGTAGGTCGATGCCTCTACTGAGGCAGGTACCGGTACTTATACCGGTAGGCCATGGTCTGGCCTCAATGCCGCGAGGCCAGGCCAGACCCTGGACCGTCTAGATGGACGGTTCAGCCTCCATCGGCGGGTGGCAGCCTCAAGAGCGCCGCCAGGCCCAAACAAAGTGTCGTTTGGGCCTACCCGCTGGGCTGAGTGCAAAATCAGGCCTTTAGGGTCTGTGACCCTCAAAGGTCGGGCCTTTAGGCCCTGGTGTGTCCCTCCGGCCCTAAGTCGGGTCCGGTAGGACCCGTGTGACTCGAAGATGTAACACTATGTCTGCCGTCTCCCACGCATGAATCAGTCACCACAACCTGATGCCGCGGGCGCAGCAACTTCCACCGCAACTTCCACCACGAAGTGTCAACTGCCAAAAGCCCCAGACCGATGTTCCTATCCTATCTATACTCTACCCTAGCCTAGACTCAACCTAGACCGGACTGACTGACCGACCGGTACCATTTCTGTTTCGGCCCCTAGGGCCTCTCCCTACCCGGCTATAGGCTATAGGACCGTCTATCAGTGTAGGCCCATTGGGCCTCTGTCCTAGGGGTAGCCGGGGTCTGCTATTCGCAGTTAGGGTAACTGTAGGAAATTCGAGGTAGTACTGGGCCCATACTTCCTATATTTACAAATATGTCCCTCACGAATTTTCCTTACAGGTAGGTCTCTCGGTTAGCCCTCAGCCAAACAAAATTACGAATCTGTCCCTACCTATGGTACAGCCTCGTCAGAGAGAGGCTACAGGCAACCTGGAACCAGCAAGTCATTGCATATGCCTGAGAAATGTACTGACATGAACAACCGTCCCGACACTTCTCGTGAACAACGCTAAACAGCTTGTGAATTGTCCTGGTCATGGTCAGAGTTAGGGCTGTGGTGACTGTTTTTAGTTGATTGTGACTCCGTGGCGATGGTGAAATTGTACCGTCTGGTCGTTGCATGAGCACCTTTGTTTTGTTTTTCATGTGTGGATATGTCTATCACATTTGATTTATGTGGGAGAAATTTTTAACTCTCTGTTTGTATGCCGTGTTGACTGGATGTTTTGTTGAGTGATGTACACGACCCAGTCTTGTTTTGTATTTATCTGGCTGCAACTGGGGTACTGTATGGATCTTCTCACGGTCCATTTGCAATTTTTATGTGGACCTTGGATTTCAGGAGTATCACGTCTGTGAAGTGCCAATTGTGAAGGAGTACATTGATAAGGGAAATGCAGCTAGAAGCACAGGTCAGCATTGTCTATGACTTAACCTACATGCGTGGATTGCAGTTCTTGAACTACCAGTTGGGTTGTCCAGCACTGGCCTTCCCATCCTGAATGACAGGTCACAGCAAACGGAGGCACACACACACACACACATACACACACACACACACACACACACACACACACACACACACACACACACACACACACAAACACACACATGTGCGTTAGAGGCACAGTAAAAAGGGAGCTGCAAGAACAATGAAAGGGGTACCCCAAGGACAACCAAAAAACTGTCTAATTATAAAATTGCTTTAATATGTTAGACATCTCAAATGCTCTCGTTGTCTGCAATAGGACAAAGACTGCTTTGATTCTAAATCTATTCACCTGGGTGGAATTGGGGCTGTTGTGGGGAAAATCTAAAACACACACACACACACACACACACACACACACACACACAAAGAGAGAGAGAGAGAGAGAGAGAGAGAGAGAGAGAGAGGAAAACCTACCTGCGTGTTGTCGTTGTTTGGAAATGGGCACAGCCACGAGCTTGAGAAACCTGTGCATATCATTCAAGTTGTAAACGAGTTCCAAGTGTGCTTAGACTGTGTGGATCTTCCTGGTTTGGCATGGATCCTGAGTGTGGTGCATACATAAAGTTTGGAGCAATAAAGGCAAACAACCAGGACCTTTTCAGTGGTATCAGAGCGCGCGCTCGTTGTATCGATAGGATCAACCAGGCATGCGGCAGAGGAAGAAACTGCACACTCGTGCTCACACTGGAAGGAAGCAAGGAGAGGAGGCGCATGCAGATGAGAAAGGCGCTCCCCAGGTAGAGGAAGGTGCATGGGCAGCAACAAACAATCCGGCTAGCCCAATGACTGGTATTGACTGCCGTGCAAGCGAACCACTTGCACGAGTGCTGGTCGGTCTTAAGTGTTGAGGGGGCAACAGCAAACAACCCGGCTTGCCCAATGACCGGTATTGACTGCCATGCAAGCGAACCACATGCACATGAGTGCTGGCCAGTCTCAAGTGTTGAGGGGTCAGCCTGCCAATTGCAATACTGCTCAAATGGACAGGACCATCAGGCACTAGTAAAACAGGCATGAGTGGCGGGCGCTCGTGAAACAACCTATCCAGTTCAATGACCCGTACTGGCCGACATGCAAGCGAACCATGTGCAGGCCAGCATTGACCAGGGAAATGGAGATACCACCGGGCTTCATCATGTGAGAGTGTGTGAAACTTACCTTGACTTACGTGGCCTCTGGTGATGCTGGAGCTGCTGCTTGTCACATCAGGAGGTTGAAGAAGGGCACCAACCTGCATACCCAGCATTGCTGCTGGAGGCTGCGCTCCATTGCTGGTGCGTGCAGAGAGACTTCATCAGTGACTTTGGGGAGACGCTTGCATTACTGAGATGGCAAGTTGTGGCGAAAGGATCCGAAGGAGAGGAGTGGAAGAGCCGATTCCATCATTTTTCTTATTATTAATGATGGAACTTTCCTCCCGCTCTCTGCATTGCTTCTCTACCTTTGTCCAATTTCTGGCTCGCTGCTTACTCTGTGAATAAATTGAGTGCTCCTTGATTGCTTCCGCAGTGTGAGCTGTTTCATTCAAGTACGCTGGGAATACTTGCATGCTAGACTTGTGAAGCTTCTCATAATTGATGGGCTCATTGCATGGTAGTATGTTACCAGCTTCACCTTGGAGATTATAGTGATTCCTACGTTTATGTGCATGTGCAACAGGGCAGCGGTCACTATGAAAAGGTAGGAAGATATTGTTCCTGCCACCTCTGCTCTGGCTATTGCAATGGACTTGTACTTGTTGCGAATTCAATTTAAGGCTACCGGAGATGCACGGCTCGGGTCGCTCAGGTGGGTGACTTGGGTGAGCCTGCCCGGGGGGGAAACCTGCCTGGGGTCCCTGGGTGACAGCAGAGGGGGGTCTCTTAAACCACCAGTACCTACCAGTTGTCAAGCCCCGTGGCTCAGGCTACCGGTAGCCCGGTCATTGCCGAGCCTCAGACAACTGGTAGTACACAACGGGAAAAATAAATAAAAAATAAATAAATAAATAAATAAAATTCTGCAAAAAGCAAAACCAAAGAAAACAAAACGGAAGGAGACATGCCCAACGAGAATGAATCTTCCTCGATAAAGAGGAAGATTCATTTTCTCTCTTTCTCTCTCTCTCTCTCTCTCTCTCTCTCTCTTTCTCTCAGAGCCAACGTTCAAATGAGAATGAATGTTCCGCGATAACATGGAAGATTCATTCTCATTTCAACCTCTCTCTCTCTCTCTCTCTCTCTCTCTCTCTCTCTCTCTCTCTCTCTCTCTCTCTCTCTCTCTCTCCCAACGTTGAAAGAGTGAATCTTTCGCGTTATCGCGGAAGATTCATTCGCATTTCAACGTTGGTTGAGATAGATAGAGAGAGAGAGAGAGTGCGTCAGCCAGTGTCTGATGCCACCAGACTCGGCGTCAGACACTGGCTGACGCCCTCTCTCTCTCTCTCTCTCTCTCTCTCTCTCTCTCTCTCTCTTGAAATGGGAATGAATCT